TTCGTTTTTGAGTCAGAGTCTTACTCTGTCACCCAGACTAGAGTTTAGTGGCTCGACCTCCTGGATTCAAGTGAGCCTTTCACCTCAGCCTCCCAAGTAACTGAGACTTCAGGCGCATGCCACCATGCCCAGCTAATTGTTCAAAATTATTTTGTAGAGATGAGGTCTTGTAATGTTGATTAGGCTGATCTCAAACTCCTGGGCTCAAGCAAGGCTTCCAAAGTGCTGGGATTACAGGTATGAGCCACTGTGTCAAGGCAGACATTCCTTTCTTAATGCATATTTATTGTTTGCTGTGTGCCAGGCACTTAGGTGTCTGAACTATAAGGTGACCAAAAATTAGTCCTCACCTCTATGAGTCATCTGGAAGAAAGAGGAAAACAAAGCTATCATTGCAGGCATAGGTGTGGTCAGGCCTCCCCAGCTAGCTAACTCCTAACTCCATCTCATTGTTCTCCAACCACACCCTATCTCCAGTGTTCCCTTCCACAGCCCTCATTTAGGGAATCGTTCCTCATTGTTTTTAAAGGAATCCTCCAGAGATATTGTTGAATAGCAACCTCTCCTTACTGGCAAGACCACACTTTAGCATCAAGGGATGGGGCAACAACCTCAAAACAAACCTCCCATCACATGCACCCTACCTCTACCACTCCTACACAGGATACCCATTCAATTTTTCTGCCCAGAAAACAGACAAATAATACTCCAATGACGGCTGTTTGAAACTCCCCAGATGCTGTTCACTTGGTGCCCTGGGAACAAGGAGGTCACATCTGTTGTGGCCACTCGCTCTCTCCCCAGCTCCACGTGTGCCCAATTCATGCCTACTCTTCTGCCCTCAGCCCTGGAGGCTGAGTCTCACTCTCCTCCCCGATGGAAAGTATACCCCATCCAGTTCCTTAACTTCCTGCCTCTCTTCTGAGCACATGCTGAGCCGAAGGGTGGCTCCTCCCACCCAGGACAGAAGGAGCCACCGTGTGAGGCTGCGACGGTGCTTCCGTAGCCCATGCTCATCTTTGGCCCATAAGGGAGGAATGCTAAATGCTGCCAATAATGGAGATTGAGTTGACTAATGTAGAAGCTAAGTCAGGCTTATTCGGAGTTCATTCCTTGGATTTGAAGAATACTGGGGAGTCTGAAAATTTTATCTTTACCAAATATGATAAAGAACTCCTTGGAACCATGGAGCCTTGTGGTGTCGTTTCTTAGTATTCCTAGCACTCGATATGGTGCTGGGTACATGGAAAATACTCAATAAAGGCAGTGTGGTATTTAGTGGTCAAGAGCTCAAGTTCAGAGACAGAACTAGGCCCTGTCCCAGTTGTGCTGTGCATTAACGGTGACCTTGGGCAATGAACTTGTTCAAGCAGATGTCCTTTTGATAGTATGAGGGTGTATTCAGTTATCTGACAAATATGTATTAGGCTTAGAGCAGAGTTGGCCGACAAGAACAAGTAAAAAGTCAATATGATGATTTCTTAGTCCATTTTGTGGGTCATTTGTAAAGAACAGATTTATGTCTTATGGTTCTGGAGGTGGGAAGTCCAAGACTGAGGCCCATATCTGGTGGGAGTCTTCTTGCTGTGTCATCCCGTGGCAGAAGGTGGAAGGGCAAGAGAGTGTATACATGCATGTGGGAGGGACAATGAATTAATGTCACTATCACTTCTGTGACAGTGTCATTAATCTATTCAAGAGGACAGAGCCCCCATGACCTGACCACCTCTTAAAGTTCCCATCTCTCGACACTGTAGCACTGGGGACTACGCTTCCAACACATGAACTCTGGGGGACACAGTTAGACCATAGCAGATGATTTCAGATGAAACCAGGGAAGAGCTAATAGGATTTGCTCATGGATTGGGTGTGAGGGTGAGGGAAAGGGCTGGGTCAGGAATGAAGCCCAGAGTTCTGGGTTGAGCAAGTGGTCAGATGGGGAGTTTGAAGAGGCACATGTTTGGGAAGAGAGGACACAAAGTTTGCATTGGGGTTCACTCTTGGCATTGTAGATTGTGAGATTTTGGACCAGACAAGTTTGAGATGTGAAGCCACTTAGCAAGGGATGTTGCTTAAGGCGGGAGGCGGCCATATTGGCATCATCAGTGCATAGTTGGCCTTTGGGAACTTTGGAATGAAAAGAGACTACCTGTGAGAGAAAGAGTCCACAGGGAAGAGAAGAGGCTCAGGCTGAACCTGGGATGCAGTCAGTCATCAGATGTCAGGCAGAGAGAAAAGCACAGAAAGGGAAGTGGGGAGAGGACCCAGAGTTGGGGTACGAGAGTATGTTTGGCAGGGATGAGACCAATGAGACCACCGGCCCATGGACTCAAACGCTTCTTGGCCCCACAGAGGTGCCTGAATTTACCCCCATAAATTCAATATAAGAATTTCTTAGTGAGCCTACATTTTTAGTGGCAGAAAAAGTTTCCAATAAGACAAGTTTCCAGATAGAAACTGCTTTCCACTCAGGGCGGCTAGAGAGTCAGGAGTTCACACAACACCCCTAAGACAGCACGGCACTGGTTTCCCAAGAGACCTCCCAGACTCCATGAGCAACGATCTCATCCACCTCATCTGTTGTGTTCATCTCTGCAGTTATTAGGCCTCTCTCAGGACAGCACAGTATCATGGCTTAGCTGTTATTAGATGTTCAATGATGGCACTCCCTAGATGGGATCTGCAAGGGGCTATGAGACCCTTGTGCTTCGGGTGGGGTGTCTGCAGCATCGATGATGCCTCCCAGGCTCTATTTCCTTCTATGTTGATAGACGATTTTCACCTCAATGACAAGGCTCAACCCACCACGTGCATGGGATTTCCAGATCTGCCTCCTTGGTCAGTCATGCATGTGGTTTTTTACCCCAGCTTCTACTTTCATGCCCATTCTCTCAGTCGTATATTGAGAAGAAAAGCGGTTCTCCAAATGACAGCCGCAAAGTCTTAGGAAAATCTGGCTGATCCAGAGAAATTTTCTTTTTGCTCTTCTTCGTGTAGACCTCTCATCGTACAGGCTGACTAGATCAGTGACTTGGGAAATGAAGTTTATTTTTATTATTTTTATTTATTTAAATTTTTTTTAAATAAACAGAGTCTTCCTGTCGCCCAGGCTGGGGCACAGTGACACCATCATGGCTCACCAAAGCCTCAACCTCCTGGGCTCAGGTGATCCTTCTGCCTCAGTCTCCAAAGTAGGTGGTACTACAGGCGTGCACCACAACACCTGGCTAATTTTTTTTTTTTTTGGTAGAGACAGGTTTCACATTATTGTCCGGGCTGATCTCAGACTCCTGGACTCAGTCAACCTTCTTGTCTTGGCCTCCCTAAATGCTGGGATTACAGGTGTAAGCCACCGCACCTGGTCAGTTTGTTTTTAATATTTAAAGACATTACATTTTTTCATAGTCATCTGAGTTTCTTGCAAAGATCGAGAGGCAAGTACGGAGAGTTCCCATGTCCCCCTTCCCTGCCCCGACACATGCACAGCCTCCCCCCTTACCAACATCCCCCACCAGAATGGACAAACTTGTTACAGTTGATGAGCCTGCATTGACACATCGTTATCATCCAATGTCCATAGTTTGCACTGGGGTTCACTCTTGGCATTGTAGATTGTGAGACTTTGGGCAAACATATATTTACCCACATCTGTCATTATAGGATCACACAGGGTATTTTCACTCCCCCGAATATTCTCTGTGTTCCACCTACTCATCCCTCTTTCCCCGGGCCCCCATGAGGTTGCTTTTATGCAGGAATTAGCTTTTCCAGCCATGTGGGGTTGGCAGCACATGCTAACATGTAACTCACATGGGCACACCAAGAGTAATTACTCTCAGCAACTGTTACCAGGCCAGGGAGCTCTGAAATTTCTCCTTATGTCCTCTGCCCCAGTTGGCTATTTCTTGTTAATACTACATGCAGACAGCAATGATTCTCTCACAGTTCCTCTGCCACCACCAAAACCCAGGTATCCTCATGCCCTTTTCGAGAAACAAGTTTTGCATTTGATGTAAAACATGAGATGAGTGGCTTATGATACATGATCAGAAAGTCATGAAACGAACTACATTTCCTGACTTTATAATGTTTGGTTTATATAGTGACGCCTCCTGTAGCTCTCCCTGTGCTTATATGATTTTAAGCACATATAGATAAAATAGGAAAACTGGGTAGAAGCTAAGTTTTGAAAAGCTCCCAAGGAAGAAGCTAAATCGTGTGCCTAGCAGTGAGCTCCCCAGCAGCCCTCACTCAGCTCAGCACTCTGCCACTTACAAAGCGCCAAAGGCAGGAGCAACTCCGAAGGACCTGGCCTCAAGTTCTTGTTCCACTGCTCTGAGATGTATGGTCCCGTGTGGGCAGCCTCCCAACTATCTACGCCTCAGTTTACTCATCTGTCACATAGGACAACAGCATCATTTTCCTCATGGGAGTGTTTGAAGTTTAAAAGAAATGCTTTGGTATATGTAATCAATATCTGTTACAGGGGTGGGGAACAAAGGCTTGTCCCTCTGTCTTCTCCTAGGCTCCTTGTGACCTCTCTGTGTGTCCACATACTATGCCAGGCAGGCCACCCAGTATCACATCCAGCCCCTGCCCAGCCCAGCCCTTACCATCACATGGTGTTGGTTCCACCCTAAGGAAGATTGGTCAACAAATGCAAAGAGATTTCTTTCTTTCTTTCTTTTTACAAAAGAGGGGAGTTATTACTTTTCTTAAACAAATGAGAATTTGCACCCCTACTTCATTAGTTGCCATTTGAGAAGAACACACACACTTTGTTTTTTTAAAACAGCTAAGTTCTGTTGAAAGACTAATGGTGTTCTTGAAATGTGTTGATGTGAAGCATTTCTCTGCTTGGTTAATTTGGAAATATGTAGCATGATATCGTTTTGTTATAGTCTGAGAGTATTGGGTGGGAGGGGAGGGACTCCCTCAAGTAAAAAGACATTTGATTAATTGATTTCCACCTTTTTTTCTCTGCCTCTCATTTCAGAACGGTTTGATCACCACTGTCCCTGGGTAGGCAACTGTGTGGGGAAAAGAAACTACAGATTTTTTTATATGTTTATTTTATCTCTGTCTTTTCTGACAGTCTTTATATTTGCATTCGTTATCACCCACGTCATTCTTCGTAAGTATGCTGGTGGAATCAGATTACGTATGTAACCATTTGCCTGACTTTGGTTTCCTGATTTAATTTTGGTTTAATATTTTGATCATTTCGGGCTCTCTCTCTCCCCCTGCTTTCCCTCTTTTCCTCCTCACATCCAGATGCCCTTCCCCTCTTTTCGTGTCTCACCTTCCTCCATCCCTTTTCATCCCTCCTTCTGTCCCCTGTTGTACCCACTCCCCACCCCGTCCTTCACCACACTTTCCAGGGTCACAGCTGGGCCAGACTTCACTTTCACCAACACAACTCTTTCCTTGATATGCTTGCCCCCAATCCAGCCATGGCGACCTCCCTTTCTCTCCTGCTAAGAGAGCTCCCCCCTAGAAAATTATTCCTCACATGTGGCACAAAGGACAGTGTGCCTCAGTGATGACCATTGAACAGCTTTTTTTTTTTTGAGTTGGAGTCTCACTCTGTTGCCCAGACTGGAGTGCGGTGGCCGCTCCCGGCCTGCTGGGCTCCGGCGATCCTTCCACCTCAGCCTTCCCAGTAGCTGGAACTACAGGCGCGAGCTACCACGCCCAGCTAATTTTTGATTTATTGTAGAAATGAGGTCTCGCCAAGTTGCCCAGGCGGGTCTCAAACCCGCAGGCTCAAGCAATCCACTCACCTCAAGCTTTTTTCTTAATGTGACATCTTCTTATGAAGGAGCAGTTATATTCTCTGGGAAAAATGTCTGGGGAGAGACACTGGGTTTTCTTGCACACAAATATATACACGTTAAAAACATGCATTGGACAATATGTTCAAGTATCTTCTAGAACATAAGCAAACTACCCCTGGCATGTTAAGGAAGCAACTTTATTTAAAATTAGGTTTGGATGTAAATTATTTTAATATATATTTGCCTAAGGAAGTGGTATTTTTTCATTCCCCATTCTGAAGGTCGTGACTTTGAACTTCTTTTGTCTCTTGGTCACTCACTTCCCTACAATAGGGAGTGATGAGAAGGAAGTTCATGTGCTTTGAATTATAAATTTAAGCCTTTAAACTTTCATTACAGTGCCGTTAGCCACATTAAAAACTGACCTTGCCTCTTGCCCACATTCTTGAAGTATAACCACCCATTAGCAAGTACATGTTTCCAGAAGTATCTGAACAGATGCCTGGCTTTCTTCCGGTGTGGCATTGCTAGAATCACAAATGGAGTGTTCTAAGTCTCATGGCGGGTATACGTTTGCTCCCTTTCTTTTTGGTGGGTTTTGGATGAGGCCCTGGGGAAACTGGGGTGGTGGGGAATGTTTTGCATTCGTTTTTGTGAATTTTAGTCAAATTTGGACATTAATGGACTGTCCCAAATTTCCCTAGATGTTTTAAATGCTAGCTCCCCTTCTTTCTGAGACTGTACGCTTTCATCTAAATGTGACACAAATTTGTAAAACATGCTTGAGAGCCATAACTTGGGTTTGCAGGAGGACAACGAACGTCCGTTAGAGTCTTTCCCACATCAGCTGGGCATGTTGCAGATGGCGGCTGTGCCGACGCACCCTCTCCCTCTGTTTTCAGAGTCCCTGGATGGCAAAAATGTGGCCAGGGTCCTATCTGTGTAAGAATAGACAAAAGAAGCAGAGCTATTTTCACAGAAGCAACTGTTGATGCAATGAGAGAAGAAATGTGTACCTATACACCACCACACACATGACACTGAAGAGCGCTGTGTATATGTGACTTTTTTTTTTCTGAAGTCAGTCTTGCTCTGTCGCCCAGGCTGGAGTGCAGTGGCATGCTCATGGCCACCGCAGCCTTGACCTGCTGGGCTCAGGGGATCCTTCCTCCTCAGCCTTCCAAGTAGCTGGAACTACAGACACATACCATCACGCCCAGCTAATTTTCTGATTTTTTATTGTAGAGATGAGGTCTCGCCATGTTGCCCAGGTTGGTCTCAAACCCATGGGCTCAGGCAATCCTCTCACCTCGGCCTCCCATAATCCCTCGGCTGGGATTACAGGCATGAGCCACCGCGCCCAGCCTACATGACATTTTTATATCATCCTTAACAACTTCAAAATGCTTTCATACATATTATGGCCTTGCCCTTACAATCTTGCCCCACATTATGGATATCCAGGGCCAGTTTTCACTTCTTCAGTTGTACATATAAATTCAGGAAACACAGACACATGTGTTCACACTCACTCTCACATACTCACACATTCTCATACACCCACATTCACCCATTCACACATGCTCTTACATTCGCACAGTCACACAGAAACTCACAGATGGTCTCACACGCCCACTCACCCATGCTTTCACACACACACACACACACACACACACACTGAGTTCTGCCGCCTGCCCCACAGTGAAGCTGTGATGTGTATTGTACTTCACCTTCCCTAAAGTTTCACCCTAGCACCACCAAATTAGAGTTTACTTAAATATTGTTAATCTATGCTACCAAAAACCTATCAAGAATCTACTTGCCTGCAAGTTATTTGAATATTTTGGACACAAGCAAATGAAGCTGTTCGTTTCCCTTGTTCTGCACTTCCCCCAGCAGCCCCCATGACAGACCGCACCACCCCATCTGACTTAGCACATGATGCTTCAGAAAGGGCGGCGGTCCTAGATGGCGCCTACAATCCCCCAAGATTCAGAAAACATTAGAAAGACAGAGAGCTTTTGGGAGCAGCCTGAGCGTCATCAGCTGGGGTCCCTCTGCTGGGTCCTGGGCTCTGGGAGGGAGGACCTGACCGGGAGGGGATGGCAAGGGGGTCGGGGGAGATTTCAGATTTCTGTGTCCTCTAAGAGGTCTGGGAAGGTGAAGTCCAGATTTCCCTGTAGAGGAAGGAATTGAGGGAAGCCATACAATTTGGGTTCAGTAGTGAAAGGGAAATCCTTTCAGCTGGTGTCCTTGTTTCACCTCAAGGCTATGTTTGCTCTTGCTGGCTGCACCCTGCTGGCCTGGCCAGGATGGCCCAGGGAGCTTTAAGCACTCGTCTCCCCTTGTTAGCGCTACCCCTCCTCATGTCCCTTCCCACCACATGGTACGAGGGTAGTGGGCACCAAGGGAATGGGACTTTGGGAAGAATGGGCAGCCAACCCACTCTTCAGATGCCCATAGTGGGACATGGTGCCAGTCACACCTACTAATTCCCACAGTGCAGCCAAGCCAATGGTCAGACACCACAGGACGCCACAACACCAGACTATTGTATCAGTCATCCTTGGTTTTTTATTTTTGGTTTTTTGGTTTTTTTGCTGCTCAAGGTACAGATTATGTCCCCTGAAGCTCAGTGGCTTCAGACTGCACAGAGGGACTCGGCACCACTACCCCCGGATGGGATCGTTAAGAATTCCTCCGTACAAGCTTTTATTTTTAAAAGCGTGATGTCAGTGCATAAAATAAAAATTGCTTTTTGTCAGATGCTGCTTTACTTAAGCTTCCAAAGTAATGTTCTCTTGCACAACTTGTATTAAAATATCTTAAATCCCAAAGAAGCCAGTAATAAACTTCAGATTTATGACGTCGTTTACTCTGGGTGCAGAGAAAGAGGTCTTTTATATGTAGCCTAGTTTATAGAACTTCCATGGTCAAAAGTTAACAAATTTGGGGAAAACAGAAGAGAAAAAATAGTGTAGAGTATTCTGTTTTCTTATTAAAATGAGGAAAACAAAGGAGGTAATCAGAACTATAATTTATGGGAAAGTATGCAGACATCCATCTGCTTTTATTGAAAAAGTATCCTGCAGATGTTGGCCGTAATTATGAATCCGCCATTTTCTTGGTGAAAAACTTTAATGGAATCTCAATCTCTGATCAGTAAACTGGGTGTCGTGGCACTTATAAAACATAATTATTCAATTGATCTTTAGACATCCATTATTTTTATGTAGATGAGAGAGCTTGCGGCGTGAAGGCTTTGTATGTCTGAATACTAAATTTTGGTTTCATTCCTACAGGTTCACAGCAGACAGGATTTCTAAATGCCCTTAAGGACAGTCCTGCAAGATATCCTTTGTGGTGGTTCAATTTTCACAGTGCAAATGTGTTAAGTATCTGACTGGCCATCTACACTCTTACCTCCTTGTCTCGTGGCCTTGGCTTTTCTTCGCCTAAATCTTATTTCATTTCATGCTTCAAAATATCTGAAGAACTCCCTCATCTTCGCCTGGATGAGTAGTGGCATCTGAATACTTGAATCTCAAATGACTCAGCCTTGTTTAAATGGAAATGCTCTTTATTTAGCAAGGAAACTAAGTATGCTTTCTTGCTCACCCCCAGAAATCAGCATGGATTTGTGTGCAGTCAGGTTAGTTTGGGGAACAGCAGGGCTGGAAGCCCCAGCTGATCTCATTGTGACTGGCAGATGGTTCATACGGAATTCTATGGACGCCTGTGCATGGGTCTGTGTCCTGCAGTGCACCAGGTGAGAATCCTCAGACCCCACCATGTAGATTCTGCCTTGGGTTACAGTTTGACATTCCTCTGAGAAGTACAGATGTTCTGTTCCTAGAAATAATATAGACTATCTTTATAATAAGTAATAAATATATAATAATATAATATAATTATATTAGTATAATATATAATTTATTGTATATTATGTTATAGCATTTTATTATAATATAGAATAAATAATATCAGTTGATATTTTATAACCATGAATAGATTAAAGATGGTCAATCTCCAGTCATTTGGATTAATGAGGATGATTTCCCATCCTCCCAAATGTATGTATGGGTATATTCCATAATTTTTTTTTTTGAGTCAGAGTCTCACTCCATTGCCCAGGCTGGAGTGTAGTGGCACGCTCACTGCCACCCCAGCATCAACTTGCTGGGCTCAGGTGATCCTTCCACTTCAGCCTTCCAAGTAGCTGGAACTACAGGTGCACACAACCACAGCCAGCTAATTTTTTCATTTATTGTAGAGATGAGGTCTCACCAAGTTGTCTGAATGGGTCTCAAACCCATGGGCTCAGGCAATCCTCTCGCCTCAGCTTCCCAGCGTGCTGGGATTAGAGGCTTGAGCCACCGCGCCCGGCCATTTCATAATATTTTTATTCTCTAAGTAAAAATGTTTACCTATTAAGTGCTTGAATGAATCACTGCACTTTACACATTTGGTGGAGAGTCAGTCAGAGGGGCCCACAGACCTGGCTCTTCAGGGATCCAGTTCTCTTTCTTTGTCATATGACCAGGTGGACTATATTGAACTCCTCATTCCTCTGTGTTGTAATTTTCACCTTGCAGTAGAGAATTCTTAAAGAATTAAGAACTTTAATATGATACACGTATCATGTGCATCTTAAAACAAGCTGGCCATATCCCTGAGAACTGGTATATGTGTATGGGGTGGGGGCATTTAGCTAGATCTAAAAATGAGCATGGTCCTATACACAGTAGATGGTATTTCTCTTCTTTCACCTCTGTTTATGGGCAGCATGGGTTGTTAGTTATGGATCTAGATTCTACAGTCAAGTAATACCTTTTCAATTCAAATCTGCACCATGGAAGAGCACTGGGACATATGGCAGATCTACAAAGGGGATTTGGAGAATAAATTTGACAGTACACCCTACCTTCAATTATGATATGGGAAGAAGCTGGCCAATGAGAGATGTCCTCCTCCGTCCCTCTCCCCAGCACTATCATAGGCGATGTCCCACCATTGTGACCTCTCTGTGCCTTCCTGTTTTCAAGGAATGCTGCTTTGGTATATCCCATGGCCCAACCTAGTCTTTCTTCATGAAGAAAGGCCTAAGTCGTTCAGGGAATCGGTTGCATCATGAAAACATGGTGGTGATATTACATTGTATAAATGCACCTCAGAACTGGCATCAGGGTCCAGGCTGCCAGCCTTCTGAAACCTCAAACATGTGGTGGCCTCCACCACCTCCCCCTCTGCAGTCCTGGCCCCTGGCCTCTCTGAGACCATGCATGTGTGGGACGCCTGGGCGCGTGCCAGACACAAACACCCATGACAGGAGCACCTCTCACCTGGGAGGGAAGGAGGCTTCCTTGCGGCTGAGGATGGCTGACTTCGAAGCCTGGGTCATTTCAGCTGCTTTGTGTCCAGCCCAAGGGCAACCTGCTGCCCTGTGTGTCTCCTGGGCGCCGTCCCTCAGGTGGAGTGAAGAGGAGCTTTGTAGAGTGATTAGAAGCAACAATGGAAAAGCCAGGCTCAGTGGCTCAGCCTGTAATCCCACGCCTTTGGGAGGCTGAGGTGAGTGGATTGCCTGAGCCCACGGGTTCAAGACCCGCCTGGGCAGCAAGACCTCATCTCTACAATAAATCAAAAAATCAGCCGGGCGTGGTAGCGCATGTCTGTAATTCCAGCTACTTGGAAGGCTGAGGCGGAAGGATCACCGGAGCCCAGCAGGTCAAGGCTGCGGTGGCCAGAAGTGACCACTGCACTCCAGTCTGGGTGACAGAGTGAGACTCCAACTCAAAAAAAAAAAAAAAGAAGCAACAATGGCTAATCAACAACCAACCCAAGACATTTTAGCAGAGAGATCGACATAACTCATGGAAACACTGACAAATCTGCACCATGGAAACTAACAGCACTTCAGCAGGCCTACAGAAAACCCAGCAGCACATTAGGAGAAAGGACTCAACTAGCCACTGCTACAAGTGAGCCCATGCTGGATGGTGTCTAGGACCAGAGTGAGGCCAGTCAGGAAGGAAGAGGGAGGAAGGAGGGTGCAGTGGTGGGGACATAGATGGCTGTAGGCAGAAGGTCTGGCTCGTTTTCAGTTGCTCAGCGGGCCCTTCCCAGTCTGTATCCACCCCCGCCACCCAGCCCTGCTGGGAGAAAGCAAAGAGGGCAGGGTGCTCACCGCCAGGATACAACCTTGAAGGGAGCACTTCCGGCTCAGAGTCCACGGGCAGTCCTCCCTCCTCTGCCTCCTCCTCCCCATCCCCATCGCCTGAACTGGCTCAATTTTTCTCCCTTTTATTTGGATCAGAGCAGCAGAGGCAGTGGGCAGGTCGGTGGCAGTGGGGTGGCTGTCCTGTACTATGGATAAGAGCCCCTTGGCTTTCCCCAGGGACAGAGGTGAAAGGAGAGTCTTCTTTAAAAGATGGGGAGACTGGGCTTTCTGTCACACAGCCAAGTAAATTCCAACAAATTCCAGCAAGATCATTTGAACACCAGCCATGTGCAAAACCTGCTGGAGTCACAAGGTTGAGATGATGGCCCAGGCCTTGGAGGCACATTCAGACAGGAGAGGCAGGGCGGGGTGGGGCAGGGAAGTGAGGGAAGTGCACAAGTGCACCTGCTCCTTCTCTTCCACAGACATCTGCCGATGCAGGACCTGGGCTTTCACCATGCTCGCTTAGAGCACGTCTGGGTGTCCTGAGAAAGACACAGACTACTCTTGGGGCAGGGTGGGAGTCAGTTGCACATCCTGCAGGGAAACCAGGAGAGTTTGTGGCAGGACCCTCCACGCAGGGCTTTGGGAGATGGAGGGGGTTTAGCAGGGGACATAGAAGGGCAGCTCCCAGGAGCTGCCAACAGCCTGAGCAAGGCCGGGAGGTGGGTGCCATGGGGTGTTGGGGAAGAGCGGCCCCTCTGTAGGGCCAAACCCAGCATCATGCCCCTCATCCCAGATGATGGGACAGGGTGCCCACCAGGGGATGGGTTTCGGGAAGGAGCAGGGCTCCCGGTCACTGTGAAGTCGGCCCTTGATCATGTGAGCACACAGGTACACTTACAGATCTATGCCTGGGACAGGGACAGGGCAGGAGCTGTGACAGCTAAACCCTGATGGTGTAGGGACAAGGGCATGGCAGCATGGGAAAATGTACAGGAGGTGGGGTCCCCTCATCCCCTGGATGCTGGCAAGATGATGATGTCATCAGAGCTGGGGTTTGTTGTTTGTTTTGTTTCAAAAGAACATTTATCTTGCAGCAGGGAACATAGCAGAGTGAGAGAGTAAGAAGACATTTGTACAGGAAAGTTCCCCCACGGGGACATCAGTGACAAAGGGACAGCTCACCGAGGAGAAGCAGGCCAGTGGGATCTGTGCCTGGGGAGGGGCGAGGGTAAAGGAAGAAGAGAGGCTTGTCTCCTTCTCTTTAATTATTATTTTATTTTTTAAGAGACAAGGTCTCCCTCTGTCACCCAGGCTGGAGTACAGTGGAGCAATCAGCTCACTGCAGCCTCAAACTCCTGGGCTCCAGCAATTCTCCTGCCTCAGCCTCCCAAAAAGCTGGGACTACAGGTGCGTACCACTGCACCCAGCTCACTTTTATTTTCTAGAAACAGAGTTTCTCGATCTCCATGCCTCAAGCAATCCTTTTACCTCAGCCTTCCAAAGTGTTGGGATTACAGGCATAAGACACTGTGCCTAGCCTAGGGGGCTTCTTCTGATGCCCAGGAGAAAGAGGGCCACCCCCAGAATGGGGAGACAGCTAGCCCTGGTCTGGAGATAAATCATGAGTTCTGCCTGCCTAAAAGACCACACACTTGTGAGTCTCCCCACAATCTTAGACATTAGGAACCTCTTTGTAGTTCCCAGCATGTAATATGGAAGGAAGGAGAAAAAATCAGGTGCTTGACAATGAGAACGTTGTAGCCCCATAGGTGACATTACCCATCAGCACGGTCAGGGAGACCAGGCAGTGACGCCTTCTCACAGGTTTCTCAGGTTCTTGGAGGTGGAAACCCTTAGGAACACATGGTATGAAAGCCACACACACACCTTGGGCCTCCCTGAGGAAGATTCCCGAGGAGGGAACCCTCTGCCCATCAACAGTCATTTAATGTAACATAGCATTAACGTCCAATTAAAGAGATGACAGTCATTTTAAATCATGATTCATTAAAAATAAGCCAGCCCAAATGAGGAGGGTTGTCTATGACTGGTAAATACAATGGGAATGGAGTCTACACTTGCAAAGGCTGTGGCAGAAAACCTTGTACCCCAAATTTGCATTCATTGGGCACTTACCTGTCTGAAAGGCAAGGGGTTCTGATGGGCATCTTCCGTTTTAGTAGAATTT